GTATTGCTGTTCAGGAGATGTTTCACCGCATCGGAAAGTTACCGCATGTAATAGGAGCTATAGATGAAACAAACATTCCAATTAAGGCGCCAAAGGTACTTGTCTACAACTGGAAATAGACTTATATAAACATTTGCGTTTTGCAACAAGCGATACAAGTCGATACAAGTGTCGTTCTATCTTTGTTAGTGTTTAATGAGTAACAAAGATTGACACTTGTGTTGCTTATTAGAAAACGCACATATTCTTCGGAATAGTGTTTCTAATTAACGTAACGTTACGTGTTACAAATGTTCTTGTGCGGAAAACGTAAATGTAGTACTTTATTTCTAGGTAGACGCACGCTTTTACATAAGTAAAGATAAGGAATATGCCATAACATTGCAAGCAGTGTGTGATGCGGAACTTCGATTCTTAGACTGCTTTGCTGGATTTGCTGGATCAGTGGGAGATCGGCGTGTTTTGAAGTGAAACTTCTTTAGGCACGGTAGTGAATTCGATTTGCGACACGAAAAAATGTAACGGAAGTGAAACTTTTTTGGTACGGTAGTAAGTTCGATTGTGCGACACAAAAAGTGTAACGAAAATTTGACCAATAGGCGTACGGCGTTGGCGAGACGGTTCTTCTTCTGGCACGGTAGTAAGTTCGATTATGCGACACGGAAAGTGTAACGAAAATTCGACCAATAGGCGTACGAAATAAAACTTCTTTGGTACGGTAGTAAGTTCGATTATGCGACACGGAAAGTGTAACAAAAATTCGACTAATAGGCGTACGAAATGAAACTTCTTTGGTACGGTAGTAAGTTCGATTGTGCGACACGGAAAATGTAACGAAAATTCGACCAATAGGCGTACGAAATAAAACTTCTTTGGTACGGTAGTAAGTTCGATTGTGCGACACGGAAAGTGTAACGAAAATTCGACCAATAGGCGTACGAAATGAAACTTCTTTGGTTCGGTAGTAAGTTCGATTGTGCGACATGGAAAATGTAATGAAAATTCGACCAATAAGCGTACGGCGTTGGCGAGACAGTTCTTCTTCTGGCACGGTAGTAAGTTCGAATATGCGACACGAAAAGTGTAACGAAAATTCGATCAATAGGCGTACGAAATTAAACTTCTTTGGTATGGTAGTAAGTTCGATTGTGCGACACGGGAAGTGTAACGAAAATTCGACCAATAGGCGTACGAAATGAAACTTCTTTGGTACGGTTGTGACCGGATCAACGATTGATGATGTTAAAATCAAAGTTTAAGCCACTTACTACTTGGGCTGTATTTACGGTCGCCACTGTATTTTCTGGGATATACACAGAAACCCTGTTGCTATGCGGTGCCCCTTCCTTCCTTCAGGCTTAATGGCCGCCGATGTCTACGACGCGGACGTGTTCAAGGCCGTCGGCAACGCCCGGTTTAAGCGCACGTAGGACACGGATATTCGGAGAGGATATTCACTGGGGTCGCGAATAATGAATGTTTGTTTATTATAAACAAATAATAGTTTATTAATTTCACAGTTACAGTATCTCGGTACACGCACGGACAGGTTCTATCGCGCACTGACCTGCGTCGATTGTTAACGAACTCTGAAAACCGTCGCTGCGAGCTATATGCGGTTAATAACCGTTAACGCGTGGTTAATCGTCGCGTAATTATCGTATACGGCCATGGGATAAGAATACGGAATCGAGTTTTATCGTGCTCAACCGAAATCGCGTTGACGCCTCGAGTTCTAACCGTAGACTGTCCGGAAGGAACGGGTCGAGTTCCCCCTCCTTAATGCTTGCGCAAGCGCGTTGCCTCGCATTTACGCGCGAAAGTGATGCAATCGCGCGCTTTCTCGATTTCGACCAATCGCGTCGCTTGGTGACGAGCGACACGATCCCTGTGACGCATATCATGTTGCTGAGCTGATCTCATTGGCCCAGCTCGATCGTGACTGAGACACTGCGGTGGCATCGCAACGGCGGACATGGGCTCTCGCTTCGGACGCGGCAACCAATGCCAGCCGTCGCAATCTGCACTACGTGCAAACTCGCGGCAAGTCACTCGGAACGATTTCCGAGTGACCGAAAATGGTCTCTTTGACGTTCCCTTTTGCAACCAGGTAAGTATCAGTAGTACTAGAATCAAACATATTAATTCTCCTTTTCTTTCAGGTACCGGGTCTTTGCGGGATCGTCTCGCCCAATCAATGGACTGGTGAACATCGTCGGTGAGTATCCGAACGGTAAGTATATAAAATAATAAGTAATGCATGGCGTTGCATAAAATACGACTAATCGTAATTGTCTCGACAGGGAAAACATAAATTAAAAATTATATAATGCAATTTTGCGCTTCACGACATTTTCTCGCTTCGCGGAGCTACGCTCGCTTCTTATTGGTCGATTCGTCGCGTTCATCGGAAAAAGTTGCGCCTTGCGCTCTCATTGGCTCTGGGCCTCGCAAAATCATAAATCAATCTGAAACTTTGGAAAATTATATCGAATTGCCAGGAATCGCTCCTATTGGCTATCGCTGTGTCGAGAATACTCAAAACTATTAAATCTAAAACGACTAGCGCTATTCTCAATAAAATGGACCGGGATGAGTCCCATTGGTCCTCGCTCGTAGGCATTTCGCCTTTACTGTCAAACTTTTGATAAAACATAAAAGTGAAATTAAAATATTGAAATATGGGCTCGCTTGGCCCTCGCTCGTGCTCTGGGCACTCGCTGTCGCAAAACATGCGTAATAGGGTTTAAGGGTCCTCGGGAATCACTCTGGGATCCAGCTCGAGGCTCAATAGTATGATGTATAAAGTATAAAGGGTGAAAATCATGCTGACGGTTTGTACGTCTGGAAAGTTAATGATAATGGGTAGGAATATGATCAGGGTGACCACTAGGTATTCCTTGAACTTCATCTTTGCGATATTGAATTTTTCTTATGCCTGATAATACGGAACGGCTTTGGTAACGTTGGAATACGCTAGCAGTAAAATACAAACTATTGAAATAGCAAATAAAGAGAAAATGAATGCTAGGACTATGATCCTATATTTGTCTGAATCCATAACGGATCGTTGGCCTGTGATTGGCTCTTTTGCTGAATCTACTTTCATACTTTTGATAATGTGAATCTTTGTTGACTCTAATGTGATATCTGTTGAAACTGAGTTTCTTTAATCTATCTGACTTTAATGTAACGTAATGAGGTAGGTTAAGGATTGTTGTAATGAATAGGATATCAGGTATGCTAAACATATATATATATATATATATTTTTATAATAAACGCTCGCTCTTGGAGTGGTTATCGGAACATGCACAATCGTTGATAAAATATAACAAAATAATAAAATGAAATGACTTAATTCGTCGGTCCTTTACGCGGACTCTTCTGACCTTGGTCCCTTGCGCGGGTTCTAAACTGAATTGCACATGCACTTATGCTATAGATAATAAAAGTCATATAAGAATGTTAATAATATATCGCGCACGGAACTCCTCTATTGGTCCGGCGCTACGGCTTGGCTCATCAGGCCAAAGTCGATGTTGTCGTCCCCGGTGTCCCTTGGTTGGCCGGTTTCTCTATCGGATGCCTCGCCGATACCAGCGGGCTGTGTTTGCGCCTCGCCGTGTCCAGCGGGCTGTGTTCGCGCCTCGCCGTGTCCAGCGGGCTGAGTCTCGATCGGCTGACCTCGTTCGAGGCGAATAGCCTCCGAAATAATCTCCTCTATGGGCGAGAGGATCTGCGTGCTCGCGACGCTCTCGAAGCTGCAGTCCTCCGCTCCTTCGACGTTCTCTAGGTCGGGATTGGTCGTTTCCCCCGGCTTGGTCAACGGCTCCGCCATGCCCTGCGCTGAGTCTGACGTCTGGGCTACCCTGGTTGGCTGGTGCTCTCCGCCGCCGTTCTCGGAGGTCGACGCTGAAATTGGTGGTACAGCCATCGATTTCACGGTAGTAAGTTTGATTGTGCGACACGGAAAATGTAACGAAAATTCGACCAATAAGCGTACGGCGTTGGCAAGACGGTTCTTCTTCTGGCACCCCAGCAAACGCAAAAGGATTAAAAGATATTAAAATTTTTTAATACCTTTGAATCCCTTTTTTGGCGGAATTAGATGAAATTAAATGGGATTCGAAATGAGATGGTCCAATCCCATGGAATCCAAAAAAGAAATTTTAAAATCCATTTAATCCTATGGAATCCGTAAAGGTTATGGAATTGCATGGCATTAGATGGTTTAGGAAACGTCTCGCGCCTCCGTTGGGCGACCAAGCGCCGTTGTGCGTCGGTGAGCTTTTGTGTATGCCTAAGGGCATTAAGGTGGAAGCACATAAAATTGCAGGAGCCATGAGCAGAAAGCAGAAGCCATATGCGCATGCGCTATGGTATCTGAAGAGCTCTAACAGATACCATTGCGCATGCGCATATGGCTTCTGCATTTTGCTCACGGCTCCTGCAATTTTATGTGCTTCCACCTTTACACGCACTACTGCCGACGGGCAATTGGCCCGAAAATGAGATTTATAAAATCTGTCAGGCACCGTAGGGGGTCCCTTTACATAGCGGTCGAGACGAAACTTTGAACTCGAGAAGATGCCCCGGCGATGCGACGCCTAGCGGCATCGACGCGAATTGCCGGTAATGCAGATACCGCGCGGGCGTGTACTATTGTTGGCGCGTACCGCCACAGAGTTTAACACGGACACCTTTCAATCCCTATCCTGGCATTCAATGGTATTCATTTTATTGTCAGAATAGACGGAATTCAATGGAATTCAATACGGAAATTTTTAATTCCTAGTTTGGCGTTCAATGGTATTCATTTCGTTAACGGAATCAATGGTATTCAATGGAATTCATCACGAAACTTTCCAGTCCCTAACTTGGCATTCAGTGGTATTCATTTCGTTAACGGAATCAATGGTATTCAATGGAATTCATCACGAAACTTTCCAGTCCCTAACCTGGAATTCAGTGGTATAATATTTTTGTGTCGGAATTGGATAGGATTCAAAAAAGACAAATTCTTTCCAAAATAAGGAATTCCATGATATTGAAACTATTTCAATCCCTTTTTTGGACAGAATGGAATTCGGAAAGTCCTTAATTGAATTCCTGGCAATCCCGTTTTAATTCTTTTCAATCTTTTTTCGTTTGCTGGGACGATAGTAAGTTCGATTGTGCGACACGGGAAGTGTAACGAAAATTCGACCAATAGGCGTACGAAATGAAACATTTTGGTACGATAGTAAGTTCGATTGTGCGACACGAAAAGTGTAACGAAAATTTGACCAATAGGCGTACGGCGTTGGCGAGACGGTTCTTCTTCTGGCACGGTAGTAAGTTCAATTATGCGACACGAAAAGTGTAACAAAAATTTTAGACCAATTGGCGTACGAAATGAAACTTCTTTAATTGGTACGGTAGTAAGTTCGATTGGGCGACACGAAAAAAAGTCACGAAATAGTGTCACGAAAATTCGACCAACAGGCGTACAAAGTGAAACTCCTTTTGGATCAATAAGTA